CTGAGAGCCAAGCTCATGCATTATCTACCCTGTCTGAACTCACAGATAAACCTATTCCAGCCTAGCCTCACTCCTCCTTTCATACTTATACCAGAACTGATTCTATCTCCTCAGCTGATTTCCCCTTTTAGGACAAAGATTGGTCAGACCTGCTTGCCTACCTCATTGACTATGATGCAGTATCAATAGTTTGCTACACTATTCCCCCCCAAGAGGAAGCCAAAAGTCCTACACCAGTATTGCCTTCTGCAGACATGACCTTCCCCATTAATTTTTTATTGGCACAGAGTCATGCCCTGTCCAACTATACTGATACATCCTTTGTCAGTTTCAGAAACATTGGCATTTTGGCCACTCTGCCAAGCACTGTCAATCCACACCCTGCTACCCTCTGTGTGGCTCCCATTATTCATCTTGTAGAGGCTGCCGTACCTAAAATTTTGAGTCTGTGGTAGGACTTCTTATTCAAATTTGCCAGGCAGTAGGCACATCGAAGAGGTTTTTCTCTTGTTCCCTACTCCAGTGCTGTCCTGAGCCCTGACCCTACCCCTTCTCCCCAAGATGCTGATATATCTCCCCCAGTATGCCTTCCTCTGACTCCTTACGTTCTCACTTCCATCCCTTCCCTCTCCCACTTAAATTCTTTTGCAGTTCTAAATTGAGACACTCCAGTCTCTACCACTTCCCACTGGGTAACCCTCCCCCTCGTTCTACCCATTGCATTAGATAATCTAAGCACACCACTCCTTCTTCCCCTACACCTACCTCTTCCTCTGCTCCTCAGGAATCTATTCCCTCTTCTCCCCTTTATAAGAAAACCTTCATTTCTCAAACATCCCCAACCAACTCCCTTTCAGGAACTCTTGAAAAACACTCAAACATTCAAATCATGAACATCTACTCAGTATTGTCCCTATTTTTCTCTTCTTCTTCTTCTTCTTCTTCTTCTTCTCCTTCTCCTTCTCCTTCTCCTTCTCCTTCTCCTTCTCCTTCTCCTCTCCTCTCCTTCTCCTTCTCCTTCTCCTTCTCCTTCTCCTTCTCCTTCTCCTTCTCCTTCTCCTTCTCCTTCTTCTTCTCCTTCTCCTTCTCCTTCTCCTTCTCCTTCTCCTTCTCCTTCTCCTTCTCCTTCTCCTTCTCCTTCTCCTTCTCCTTCTCCTTCTTCTTCTCTTCTTCTTCTTCTTCTTCTTCTTCTTCTTCTTCTTCTCCTTCTTCTCCTTCTTCTCTTCTTCTCCTCCTTCTTCTTCTTCTCCTCCTTCTTCTTCTTCTTCTTCTCTCCTTCTTCTTCTTCTCTCCTCCTTCTTCTTCTCCTCCTCTCCTTCTTCTTCTCCTCCTCCTCCTTCTTCTTCTCCTCCTCTCCTTCTTCTTCTTCTCCTCCTCCTTCTTCTTCTCCTCCTCCTTCTTCTTCTCCTCCTCCTTCTTCTTCTCCTCCTCTCCCTTCTCTTCTCCTCCTCCTTCTTCTTCTCCTCTCTTCTTCTTCTCCTCCTCCTTCTTCTTCTCCTCCTCCTTCTTCTTCTCCTCCTCCTCCTTCTTCTTCTCCTCCTCCTCCTTCTTCTTCTCCTCCTCCTTCTTCTTCTTCTCCTCCTCCTTCTTCTTCTCTCCTCCTTTTCTTCTTCTTCTCCTCCTCCTTCTTCTTCTCCTCCTCCTTCTTCTTCTCCTCCTCCTCCTTCTTCTTCTCCTCCTCCTTCTTCTTCTCCTCCTCCTTCTTCTTCTCCTCCTCCTTCTTCTCTCTCCTCCTTCTTCTTCTTCTCTCCTCCTCCTTCTTCTTCTTCTTCTCCTCCTCCTTCTTCTTCTTCTCCTCCTCCTTCTTCTTCTTCTTCTCCTCCTCCTTCTTCTTCTTCTCCTCCTCCTCTTCTTCCTCCTCCTCCTTCTTCTCCTCCTCCTCCTTCTTCTTCTCCTCCTCCTTCTTCTTCTCCTCCTCTTTCTTCTTCTCCTCCTCCTTCTTCTTCTCCTCCTCCTCCTCCTTCTTCTTCTTCTTCTTCTCCTCCTCCTCCTCCTTCTTCTCCTCCTCCTTCTTCTTCTCCTCCTCCTCCTTCTTCTTCTTCTCCTCTTCTTCTTCTTCTTCTTCTTCCTAATCCTTTGTCTCATTCCCGTTCTTCCCCTCCACAGTATGACATCCATTTTACCCTTATTACTTGTTAATTGTTTCATAATAGCTTTTCTACACTGAAGAATTCATGTTTCCTGTTCTTGTGCATTTAATCTCTTTACTATTAGAAATTTTTATTATAGCATGACCCAAAATCATTAATTTGCATCCTGGTCATTGTAGATGAGCCAAGAACAGACTAGACTATAGTTCACGTGTGGATTATGAAGCAGTATTATCTCTATTTTTCCAGGACCAGTCATGGGGCCATGCCAAGGAACTAGGAAAGCATGAAAGTTGGTTACAAAAAAAGAATATGGAAAGACAGAAATACAAGCCAGATGTAACCATTGAGGAGAGATACAAGAACCTTCGCAATGCAGATGTTTGGGATTAATTAAATACTGAGTTATTACATATTTAGTTTTGCTGTATATACATGTTTGTTTTTGAAATTTGTAAATCATGTATCAATAAATTAGGTAAGGAAAACTACTTATGATTTCAGCATTTATTTCCCCACAGAAATTAGACAAATTGCAAGAATACTGGTTCTTTTCAAAAGTGAATCTGTATCTATATTGACTCAGAAAATATTAATTTCTTTTCTGAATACTCAAAATACTCCTATGTGGCACTGATCTGCTATGTCTATTTATAAGACAAAAGTTACTCAACAAAACTCATTTATCACATTTTCAAGGAATGTTCCATGAGACCCTACATTCATGTCTAAGTTCAGAATAATACTAATTTAAAAGAAGTAAAAATGATCGCTATGTTTTCTTTAAACAAGTATTCAATTTCATATTTCTATAGTCTTTATTTTTCTTTTCATCAAAAAAGCTCAAACTATGAACTTCCCTAGTCTAACATGGCGATATATATAAATACCTGTAGCACTGGAATCACAAATGTTTTACAAGAAAATCTGGAAGGACAATACAACTTCCTTGTATTGCTTGTGCCTGATATTATACAACTAAAACAACAAATATCTGTCTTTACTATCATGTTCTATCTGGAAAAGCACATGAAAATATTGCTCCTAGATAATTTATTTGGTTTTCTAAGGGTAAAGTACAGTAACAGATGCATTATGGCATAGATTTTACCCAAATTATTGCTTTACAAATTGATTTGTTAAGTTTACTATCTATCAGTTATTCAGGCACTTTGATAGGCAACTAGAGGAACTTACTATCTTTAGTGTTGTACCTATTAATAGAAACATGCAAGACAACCCAGTTAGCACAGGTTCAATGTATCCACACATAAGTAAAGGGAAAGACATCACCTTGGAAACAAAAATAAAAATACATGATTCAATAAAAGACAGAGAAATGGAGAATGTGTGAGTGTGCATGCATGTGTGTGTTAGATTTTGAGTGTGAGCTTACAAACAATTAGTAAAGCTATATGAGTGGTAATAATGTTAAAATCATAACATTATAATCAGTAAAGCACTACATTTTATAGGGTTATATATATTAACATATCCTGTACTTCTGGCTAAAAGTAAAACCAGTGAAAGCTTGGTTAACTTATTCTCACAGGAAAATGTAAAAATGAATGGATGGAAGACCCATAACATCAATATGAAATATTATCTATTAAAAACAATTATAAAATGTATTGGGTAAATATACACAAAATCATTTAAAAAGTTGCAAGCTTTTGATATTAATACTCTATTTTGTAATAATGGAAGACAAGCACTGGTAATACCAATGCACTATAAAGTGTTATGAATATATTTTTTATAAAGATTTTTTTTTAACATCAAGCCTCAAAATTCAAGATGGTTACTACAAAGATAGTCTGATCGTGATTATATAGCATAATACATTTCCATACCGGCAATTAAATGCATAGAAATTTAACACATGTTCAACATTACTCTCTTTTTAACCTATAGATCAGACACAAAACTGATTGGCTAATACTGCACAATACTTGCCTCTTGATATCTCTACCTCTCATTTCATTACCTGTTAAATGAACTTCTCAATCATCATCTATATAGCACTTCATTGTATAGTCATGCAGTTTCTTTATTCCTGAGATGTATCACAAATACTGTGAAGTGTACGTATACAAACATTCGTATGTCACTTGCAGAAAAATAAAGAAAGAGAAAAAGGGGAAAGGTAAAAATACTTGTTCAAAGAAACTTATTAACAACTAAAGCAAAAAATAAAAGGGTTTAATGTCTTGTGATGGATTTACCCAAAATAACAGAAATATACTGTATACTTCTATAGAACACAAATGATATAGCTTATATGACACAAATTATATAGCTTAGCCCTTACACAATAACTGCAGCACCAGGCATATGCACCAATGTGATACTTAAAAAATAGACCTGAATGATTATTCCTCATGCAAAATATATATCTGAGTAACAACAAACAAAACAAACATTTCTAAGTGAAAAGAAAAGATGTGTAGCATAAAATAGAATTGCCATTTCTAATAATCAAAACTAGAAACCTTGATTACAGTATCAGCTGTAACAATACTTTCATCTATCATAATGTGTGCCAATCAAAATGCTGATTTCCCCTTTAACAGAAATAATTCTAAACAATGCGAACTGGCACTCTATCTATTTATTACACATCACACCATTGGTAATGATTAATCAAAAAACAAAATAAGTAACAAATAAGCAACAACAAAGCACATTTGTAATTAATGTAATAGCACTCTGCGGTTCAGCTATCCAGCAGCTTCAGGCTGTGTTGGGAGAAAGAGAACTCGGAAAGTCTCCTGACATCTTCCCAGGCTTAGAAAGGGCCACTCTTGGCCGGAATGTGCCCCTGCATGTACTTGTGCACACGAGGCCAGATCTCGTTGGATTCCGTTCCGTGAAAGACTTGCAGGATGCCCAGGTCCTCATAGAATTTCTTCAGTGGCTTTGTGTTGGTAGCATATACCTCCAAGCGATGCCGTACTGACTCAGGTTTGTCATCTTCCCTTTGAACTAAGGGTTCTCCTGTAACATCATCTTTGCCCTGGAAAGATTTTAGACAGCATCAACACAATATTGTCATTCAAAGAGTGTAATATTAAGACCAATGTACTGAATTTAGATTACATATATCTGTGTGAATGCGTGTGTGCATGTGTGTGTGTGTGTGTGTTTGTGTGTGCGCACACACTCGCTTGTGCAGACATTAATTTACTATAAAGTGATTGTCAAAATTAGAGCATGGGTGTGGGGTAGAGGGTGGAAGGGTGTGTTGAGTGAGTGGGTGGAAGGATGTGGGTGAGTTGATCAGAGTGAGTGAGTGGGTGGGTTGATCCATATTCTTAAATATCCGTGTTTAGACTTTATGCAATTTGCACTAACAAAAAAGTACAAGAAAAATATCAAGCAGCAAATAAATTCATCAATGAGACTGAATGACAATATCAGGCAAATTTTGCCTTCCTGTAAATAAATAATAAATATATAACTATTCCTAAGACACAATCTGTCAGTAAAACTAACAAACAAACAATTGTCCAATTTCTTATATTTTTTTCTCCATGCACAAAACCACAAAAAAATAGTTCTAGGATCCTATTCCAGTAAGTGAACAAACTGTCTTTCGTTTGTCTATTTTTCTGGTTTTCAATGGCATCGTCCCACTTTGTTCTTTCCTTGTGGGATCAAAGGTAATGGTTAGAACATTGGTGAACAACAAGACAAAAAGGGGAGACAGTTAATGAACGTGTGGGCTCGTGATTCAACAAACATTCATCTCAACACAACAACGAGAAAAAAAGATACCTGAGTAACTACAGTGATGAATCTTTTGATGAGTTACCTGGATAGAAAACCATATAAAGGTTATATATAATGTCATGTGTTATATATGAAAGTCATTTTAAAGATTCAAATTTCCATGCACAGCAAATTAAGAAATATCCTTATTATTAGAATTATAAAAAAAAAAAGAGAGAAAAAAAAGACAAAAAGTGCTTATCAAAAATATCTTTCAACTCTTTCATCATTATGGAATGTTTCAAGTAACTGAAATCAAAAAGTATATATTTCAGAAGACAATCTGAAACATCTTATACAAATGATGGGAGGTGAGAGACAGCCCTTACAAAATTTAATCAACAATCTATCTACAAAACAAGATAACAGCATAAATAAAATATTAATCATGCCACATTCAATATATTTACATCTTATCATATAGCTTATCCTCAAATGCTGAACTGACTGTTTTTTTTTCTCCCAGTACCTCTGAAGTGATGTTTCTAATTTTCACTGATGTACTATTTCCATCATAACAGAATTTAAACATCTAAATATTTCCCAACTCCAATCAACATCTCAACCTTACCATAGTAATCAGAGTATTATACATAATTACCTAAAACTATTACTCATAAGTGCTGTACTACAGGCTTCTAAATATTCACACTACTAAGTACTCCTTTTACACTTTTTCCATCATTCAAGCTGATTCAATCCTTATTTCTTAACAAAGAATTCAGCTTGTAAGAACTTTGCTACTAATGACAGAAGACCAATGAAGTTCTGATACTATCTAAGACCAATTGTGATACACTTACTTGTGATAAAATTAATGATCTGAATAAATAATTCTGTTTACCTACTTTTTTATGCCATGAAGAACATTCAAATTGAATACATTAATAAAAAGATACTGCCATACATGTATGACTGATTAAGCTTCATATGCTTATAATATACAGGCATTAAATGAAAAACAAAGAAAATATTGGGAAAGTCTGCTAGTGCAATATTACGAAAAGTTACCTTCAAACTGATGTGTGCGCTTTACAGTGCAATTTATCACACAATATCCTGTGCTGCTTATACTACAAGGAAAAAGAAAATGCTTGTATCACAAATTGAATAACAAATATCAAAATTACTGCCTTTCAATGAACTTAATACCAAACTAAATCATGATGAATACTATGCACACTAACATGAACTTTATGTAAATTGTATCTTTATGTAAAACCATAAAATCAATGCTTCAGAATATTCTATTCTCACTTCACTAGAATATCATTGTTTCATTTCTCCTGAGTAAGCACATTTGCTAAATAGATCAAAATTCTTTCTATCATTACCAAAATATTTATTACAGCACTAAATATGCCACCTCATTAAGCTGAACTTTTAAATTAATATGTTCTTTAGCTACTATTATAAGAGTTACAAGCACAAATGAGTTCTATACCATTTACATAATTTCTACTTTAGTGTTATTCTAAAAATAATAATAATAATTTAAAAAAAAAAAAATTATATATATATACATATATATATATATATAAATATATATATATATATATATATATATATATATATTATATATATATATATATATAATATATATATATATACACAAAATACAAAACCATTGAACAAGGCATATGTAATGCACATCTACTTAAAGGACTACAAGGTTTCTAAATAAATGGATGAAACTACTCTGTTTAACTACACCTCAACTGCTCATCAGCCAGTCGCTTAGGACTTAGCAGTCAACCGGCATTCAAAGCAAAATCTGTACTTTGTTGTTGAAAATGAAAACTCCTCATTGTATTTTTTTTAATTACTCCTCAATGTGGTTTAAAAAATTAATCCTCAGAGTGTTCCCACCTCAGAATAAGTATTGGGTGAGATAGTGTGGACTTACCGGAACTTTAGGCGGATTGAACTCAGTGTGATAGATCCTTCCTGAAGCGAGGTGGGTCCAGCGACCCTTAATGCGGTCCACTATGACGTCATCAGGCACTTCAAGGCTCAGGACCAGATCAAGCTTGAGAGGCAAGCATCAACAGCAAAGGTTGCAGTGGGTGATAAGGTATAAAAAACATGCAATAAATGAATTGCAGGAAAAATATTATTTATGTGACTACAAAATCTTAACAAACGCATAACTCTTAGAAGAAAACTGGACACTATGGTACAAAATCCAATATCTACAAGAAAAAACTGAATAACTACACAACAAATAGAAAAACTACTAGTAAAAAACATATATATCTACATTTACTCTTAATATAACTGAAACTTTATCTGAACTTATCTGATTATGATACAAGTTTCCACAAATCTGTACAATATTACCTGATTTGTAACCCTCTCAAAGGATTCCATTTTCTAAAAAAATATCATTTCAATCTTTGGGAGCAACAGCAGTTACTGAGAGAACTTTAAAATTGTATATAGTGAAGAGAAAAAAACACTTTTTTATCATATTCACATGGAAATGGAGGCAACACTCTGCTCAAGCTGCCTTCTTGATCCATAATTAATATAAAATGTCATCTAATGATTACTACAAAACAATTTGTGACAAAAAAATCGACCGATATAATCATATATAATTATTCAAGATATAACATTTACAACAATCAAAATTTACTTAAATTATGATACAGCTATCATACAAAATTAACTGGAATCAAAAAGGATAGGGTACAATTGTAAGAGAACAATGCTGGACTAAGGAATATGCAGATATATACATACACACATATATGCAGACATGCAGACACACACAGACACACAGACACACACACACACACACAACACATACACACACTCCACTCACTCTCTCTCTTTCTTTCTCTCTCTCACACACAGAGACAAACACACACACACACACACACACACACACACACACACACACACACACACACACACACACAACACACACAACACACACACACACACACACACACTCTCTTCTCACTCACTCACTCACTCTCTCTCTCACCCCCCCCCCCCAAACACACAACACACACACAACACACACACACACACACACACACACACACACACACACACACACACACACACACACAACACACACACACACACACACACACACACACACAAATTTGAATATAGCAGACAGGACACCTGAGCTTAGTTCTTCTCCGTATTGAAACAACTAGGTAAGAACAACTAGGTACGAACACACACACAGTCTCCCACACACGCAAACTCACTCACTCACTCTCTCTCACTCACTCACTCACTCACTCACTCACTCACTCACTCACTCACTCACTCACTCACTCACTCACTACTCACTCACTCTCTTCTCTCTCTCATCACATCATTTCTCTCTCTCTCTCTCTCTCACACACACACTCTCTCGCTCTCATACTCTCTCACTCTCATATTCTCTCACTCACTCTCATACTCTCACACTCTCTCTCACTCTCATACTCTCACACTCTCTCTCACTCTTATACTCTCACACTCTCTCTCACTCTCATACTCTCACACTCTCATACTCTCACACTCTCTCTCACTCTCATACTCTCACACTCTCTCTCACTCTCATACTCTCTCTCTCACTCTCATACTCTCACACTCTCTCTCACTCTCATACTCTCACACTCTCTCTCACTCTCATACTCTCACACTCTCTCTCACTCTCATACTCTCACACTCTCACACTCTTTCTCACTCTCATACTCTCACACTCTCTCTCACTCTCATACTCTCACACTCTCCCTCACTCTCATACTCTCATACTCTCTCTCACTCTCATACTCTCTCTCTCTCTCATACTTTCTCATACACCCTGTCTGCCTTTTTAAACTACATTAAAGGATTATTTATATATATCTTTTCTTAACTAATACTTATTTTTTTCCCATGGAGTATCAATATGAAAGTTAAATTGTTTCCATATTCACCTTAATGTTTACCTCAACAGGAAGTGCTTGAAAACAAAACAAAATAAAAATTAAAAGTCAACCTTAATTTCTTATGGTCATATCTTATAAAATATTCACCAGAACGAATCATTTCTAATACTAAAAAAATATATAAATCAGATTAAATATAAATCTACTGAAATTCTTTTTCTTGTATAAATTACCAGCAACTACGACTTGCATGCTTTCAAGTTATAAAAATAGCTATGCAAAACAGGATTTTGCCATCACAACTAGGTAGTTCTCATCTGTAATCATTGTTTAATAAGAAAATACTCGAAATTCTTATTATCAAAATTGCACTCTTGTACAGCTCATTCTCTATGATAAAAATTTGAAAAAGATGGATATTCAATAACCAAATTTTTTTTTAATTCAGACATTCCCTTATGATGGACAGTTCCCCCAACACCTATGTACACCAGCTAGTTTTTCTGATGTTTTGAATTGTCAATTTCAACTCTCCTATTTGAAGTTCCTGTCATGGGGTATGTGTGGAGAGGGTTTACATGCAAATATAGCTAACTCATCTGTATGTTAAGGTAGAAAAACATATTACTGTGACATAACAAACATGTTTCTCAGAAAAATATGATGAAAAGTGTAAAGCAGCCTACATAACTTACAAGGAAATGTTGCCTGCACATTTCATAATTGGTCATTATCAACTGTTTGGTTATCAAGACGTAATGATGAGAAAATTGAATGACTGAATGAAACTTAACATCCATCACCAAAATGATAAGAAGAAACACTTGGATATCCTGGTCTATCTAATTTGACCTACTGGTAAATCATTTATCAAAATCTGAATTCCTTACCCCATTTCATTAAATGTTTTATTAAATTAAAATATTTGACATAAACTCTTCGATGACAAGTGACAGGTAATATTGTAATCAAAGTCCTAGCTACCACACAACAGGCAATATGATTATCATTTCCTGACAAACACCATTGGCTTGTTTCTTATTCTTTATACTAGGAACTAAATACATGCATGGCAATGGTTTATCCAAAACAAAACATCTCTATCATATTATTTGAATCATCAAGTCATGATGTTTACTATAATAGCAACAAGATGTTCCATGGAATTATGCAACTAATTTGGCACAAACATTTCTTTACAAACAGAAACATTAAGCTTTCCATAATGACAACCACTACCATACTTTCATACTTTTAGTAAATTGCCAAATATTTCCTGAAATATGTAGGTCTCCCATCAAATTACTGGTATCTATACTGATCATATTGTAATCTAGAGTTGCCTCTTCATACTGAAAATGATCACTGCATTAAAAGGCAAGTTAGAATTAAACTATATGAATAAATCCCTTTATAAACTGTTTATGAAATTATCTCTGATGTCTCCAAACCAATAAACAAAACAATGTAGTTATAGAAACATCATATATTAAATGCCCAGAGAGACTAAATCATATAAATAACATTAGTGCTACTAATTATCTAAATGAAAGAATGCACATTGTAAATGCACAATGAATGATCAGCAAATCAATTCCTTTATATTTTTTGTATCTTATCATCATCTAAATGCTATGCCGAATCTCATTTGTTCAATAAAAAAATTAAAATCCCCTACTACTAATTCTAAATCAAATACTATAATCTAACAAAATGTAATGGCTGTGCCAAATCTTGCAAAACATATATCAAATATTATCAATCATTATACCGAATACATTTCTAACTGTCACAATATAAAGCATCTTTACATCATCCTGTTATAAAAATTGCATATTATATTTATATCAGCTTTAGGCAAGGATAAAAAATGTTTCAATAACATTGAATGCCCAGCAATATATCTATAATTCACTCTATGATGGTCCTAAGCAATTTCACCTGTAACTTGTTCTGTTGACACACTTCAAAATTGGTGCTGTTAACTTAAACTAATTCTTACATTATAATAAACACCATAATAATTCATCTTAATAATAAAATCATAATCAATAATACCTACAACATATATCTTGATTGTATACATACTATACATCTAATAATTCTTATATACAAATGTGGACAGTGAATCAGAATTAGTTGGGGTACAAGAGCCTCACTATTTTTTTCACTTCTCTTTATCTATCACTATCATAAAATGATGTACCTTTCCACAATCTAAAATTCTACAACTCACCTTCTGATTGTTGTGCAGAGCCTCAGCCTGTGGACGTGTGCGTGGAAAGCCGTCCAGGAGCCAGGGTGAGGAGTTCAACCCTGATAGCTCCGTGGATATAAGTTTCACCATAACATCATCAGGCACCAGCTGCCCACTTTTCATGTAAGACTGCGCAGCTAGGCCAATTTCTGTAGAAAAATGCATAAAATTGGTAATAATGGCAATTTTGTGCTGAATCTGTTATGTAAGACAAAGAAAAGGGTTCAAAATTTAACCACTAAAACAATACAATCATCATTATAATGCTTTATGAGTATATAACACTGGAAATTCAACATTATTACATACAGAATATACAGAATGCAAAAAATTAGCAAGTAAAAATGCAGAATCTCATCATTATAAAATGATATCAAATATTTAATGCCACATAGGGACAAGGGGCATATCATATAAATAAGTTATGGACTGATCTCCAAATATCAAAGAAATATCCGTAAGCTAAAGCATTATCATGCTATGAACAACTCTTTGGTGGTTACTAAAACAATTTTTTTTCCAGTAAATCTGTAATATCTAAAATGAAAAGACTACAGTCATGAAGACCTCCTTGAAAGACCAAAAATAATGCTCTATTTAATCGTTTAAAGAAATCTTAGGATTTTTTATTAGAAAAATATGGAAGAGCAATCACGATTATACATTTCCTGAAAAAAATTTCATATGGTGGGATATATTTAATTAAGCTTACTATTGCATTATAAAGGCAATCAACATGAACAAATTTGTGAAAAACAATTTTTTCCATTTTGATTAATACACACTTTATCTTTTATCATAACGCTATCTGTCTATGACTTTATACCTTACCAATAAACATATAATCGAACTGTGCCCATCATCTGAAGTGTCTTTTAAGTATTTTCCCAAAAAATCACAAAATCTCACCGGTTTTCTTGAGGATCTGTGCCCTGAGTAAATCTCCACTTGACAGGTGTTTTAACCCAAAATCCCGGACAATTCTGCTGGATATCGTCCCTTTTCCCGATCCCGGCGCTCCGAGGATGACCATTCTGAATAATTTGCTCATTTCGTTGGTTATAGTTTATCTAATAACGAATTATTTGTTTTAAAAGGAGGAAAGTTATCTCATCGGAGTCCTTTGGATTTCTTCTTCGAGCTCTTCTGCTGTGATAAATACCTTATCAGTCTTATCACGGTAACTTTGGATAATGTGATACCTTTTATTGGTATCTAATTTAAAAGGTCAGCCTCTAGTTGCCATTTGTTTGAGATTCACGTTACTTATACTAGGGGAGTTTCAAGAACTTATACTTTGTAATCAAAACAAACGTGGAAATGATGTCGGTCTTTGGCAAAACCTCTTCTCTGCTCAGAGTTCTGCCAGCTGTTGCGGCCTGTAGGAATATCACTACTTCAGGTAATTCAGAATTATTAATGGATATTGCTGCTCTTTTCTTTTGTGATCTCTTGCTAATTTTCTTCGATTTCAGGGCGACGGTTCGGGTGTTGCAGACGCCGCCTGCCTTTTTAATTTCAGATAATTTTTATTTGTTTTTTTTCCGTTTTCGCCATGTGATTGTACGTAACATGAAGATATTGGTCTAAGGAAGTTTTGCTTTCAGTTTGTGTAATTGTTACATAAAGTTGCACACAAACTCTACGGATTTAGGCAAACACTCGTTCCGATGACATTCATTCGATGTATTAATTGATAAATTTCTCCTTTATAACTTTGGATTATGTATCATAATTGCTTATTTATTGTCATTTACAAAATGATACAGCACTAGTATTTTTTTCTTTTCTTTTTTTGCATAACAAATGCACATGTAGGAATGAGAAAGAGAATTGCATTTATTTATAATTTTCTTATATACTCTTCCTATTAATACTTATGTAGAAGGTGACATTCATATTTATCATGAAATAATCCAGTTAATAATATTAATGCTATAAATTAATTCATTATGTTTTTGATAAAATACTAGTATGTGAATGTTTATTAATGTAATTTATGGTACTCTCTTTCAGCATGCATGTTTGGAATAAAATCTCGTTGGGTTGCGCCATACAGGAAAGAGTTGTTAAAAAGACAAAAGAAAATGGAGAGAATGGGTATCACACATCAGTTAAAACGTTCCGAGTACATTGAGTGGTGAGTTAATTTTGTAGTCTTTTTATAGATTTAAATTCAATTTGTTCTCTTTTTAAGTTGTTCTTTAAGAGAGAAAAAGTAATCTGTGATTTCATAGAGTGCAATGTAAGTAAAGCACTATTCAGGGGTGTTAATTAAACGGTTGTTTATATTAACCTATTTTATGAGTTGACAATTTGGTATATATAGGTCTACAAGATGTATAATAAATCTTGTTTAATTTAGTGACCTTTGAAATATCACTACTTTCTTATATGTTAATATGATATTTAAGTTACAGGCCCTAAATCATAACCCTCTTCCACAGGAACTATGATGCTGAAGTTTACGCATTTGGCAAGAGACTCGGTGAACAGTTTGACAACAACATACTTAGAGAAGCATTGACTGATTCCTCATACATCAGTCAAGAGAGAGTACGCCAGCAGGAGTTGGGTGTCCCTGAACCGGCGTTGACTATGACGAGCAACAATGAATTGGCAACTGCAGGTTCTCACATTATAGCAGACTACTCAATAAAGTATTTGCGCTCAGCTCTCCCTTTGTTCCCTGAGGAGGGTATCAGGTAATATAGATGTTTTGTATTCTTTAATTGATTTACTAGTATATATGTGCTTCATTTGTTTTAATAAGGTCTCTTACTTATATATAGTGGTAAAAATGATTGACAAGTTTATATACAATACACGAAAGGTTGCTATTTTAGAGGAATTATATTTGAAAGAAATGCAGTACTATAAAAATGTACAAGAATGCAGTGAATGTTACAAGAAGCACAGTGTTTTAATGTAGATGACACAGGATTTTCAGTCTTAGACTTAAAAAATTTATATATAAAATTATACATACACTTAGAAGGTCACCTAGTTTTATGTGTTCTGTAATAAAATATAGAGCCATCATGAACAGAAATCATCTTTCATTCCATCTAGTAAGAGCCAGTTTTCTTTATTTTGGGCTCTTCAGTTTTCCGTCTTTCAGATTTCATATGCTTTATCTTTTTAGGTGCTGTAATAACAAATTATTCATATTTTACCAAACATTATATTGTGGAAACTTGATAATAGCAACCTTTTCAATTAAAAATGATATGTCATGAATACTTCATGTTTTTTTCTTAATTTTTATGGTTTGTACTCAATTGGCCATTTTTAAACTTTTCTCATTTGTTCTCAGATCTCTTGTAGATTATTTAACATCATCAGAAGTCATGGCAGAAGTTGGGTTGGGGATCGGTCTTAAGGATTTAATTCTTTGTAAGGTAAGTTAAGATAAGTGTACAACAAATGTGCAGTTACACTTCTTTTCATTTTTATTGACTTTACTTGTCTAATCTTATTTTTTGAAAAAGGGAAAACATAAACCAAAAATTTTATTGTCAGCTAATTTACTGAATATGTGAATATTTCCATTCAGCTTTGTAGAATTTAGAGTTGCATCTTAACCCTTCAGATTTTTAGGATAAGAATTAGTTGGCAGTAATTTAATACATAACTTTACCTTTCCTCACAATGTTTTGATTGCCTTTTCTTCTCCCCATTTCATTCACTGAATCATTTAAACTGAGGGACTTAAAATGCAAGCTCTATAGGAAAAGAGGAAGTGAGAGTAGCTCACATGATGAGTAGATAAAGAGTAGGTTTGGTGGGAAAGCAAATTACCTGGATTTAGAAGAGTTTACAGGTATGATAGTTTTTTATACGTGTGCACGTGTCATTTTGAATCAAGTTTATCATGTATTGTACAAAAGGTATGAATGAAGTTTGCTCTATGGAAATGGGAGCATGTATATAGAAATATTTGTTATGTATTTTTTGGTATTTAGTTTATTTTCTTTAGCAGTTATAGTATATGAAGATCCCTCTGGGTATTCAATATGTCTTGGGATACTTGTAAACCTTGTAAGTCCTCATAAAGAATTTGTTACTTGAGGTCACAGATTTTGGTTTAAAATGTGTTATAAAAACAAATTTCTTTATCTTATATAGATAAATATACAGACACTGATGCATAGTTTCAGATAAAAGAAAACACAGCTATAGTTTGAAAGGAATAAAAACAAGACATTTCAAATTCAAATTTTTATTTTGTTTTCACCGTGTTTGATAAAGAATTCATGAAGTTTGAAATGATATGTTTTTATTCCCTTCCAATTGTGGTATTGTTTTGTTTTATGCCTTTACATTGCTGTGGTAACAAGTCCACCAACTCCTTTAGCTGTGTCTATTTTACAGGAGTCAAACTAAATAACTGCAGTTTTTGTTTTTCTAATTATTATTCTCCTCCTCTTTCTTTCTTCTACCTCTCCTTCTTCTTCTTCTACTTCTCATTAAAAAAGAAATCATCATTATGTTCACTATATCATTGTTGGGCCATTTTATTTTGGTTATGATTTGGTATATGATTTGGGTCATATGTGGTAAGAATGCTATTTCATATGATATCTGTTTGGATAGACTGTGAAGGATATCTGTGGTTCAAGTTCCATTGTTAGCACTTTCATTGACTTTTCCTCTTTTATTAGTAACATCACTTCTGTTTTGGTGTGCAAGAAACAAAAGAACTCAAGATTTAAAAAAAGAGAATAGCTATGTGATATGTCCTGAATATTTGATTTGGTGTTGCTAGCCAGGTCCCCTCCCACTAACTTACCAAGAAATTGATTTTCTCCATAGCAAGAAGGAAATGAAATATTACACTAATTTACCAAGAAATACATATTCTTCTCTCTGTTTTTACTACAGGAATACCCTCCAACACCAGAGACTGTGGGAAAGTGCTTCCAGGCTGTTGTTGGTGCACTAAATGCCTCAACCTCCCTTAGTCAGTGCCAGTTGTTTGTGAGAGATTTTGTAGTGACACAGCTCGTAGGCAAAGACTTGAATGAGATTTGGGAGGTAGGTAATACAGCAACTATCTGTAATTGTGGTGGCTTAGAACAAACTTATGAAAATAACACAAAAAATATAATGATTTAAAAATAATAATAATGATAATCCCTTCAAAAAATTGATACTAAAAATAAGAATAAATCAGATTGAGAATCCGATGGAAGCCATGCAGGACATCTTGGGTCGAAGTGGACGAGGAGAGCCGGAACCAAGGCTGATATTCGAGTCGGGCAAGAACACACTTGAGGCAGTTTATCATGTTGGAATTTACTCTGACAAGGAATTCATTGGGTCAGGTAAGTAACGTATTTGATTAATTTTTTTCCTATTTCTATTAATTACCGATTTTTTGATGGACGGGAGCAGAGGGAAACTGATGCCTTATCAACTCTAAGCTAGTAATTAAGAAGTTGCTGTAAAGTATGTTTCATACTAAGGATTTTTCAGATGTAAATGCATTATGGAGAGAAGAAATGCAAACTTTTTGTGATTGTTTTATGTAAAGTGTCATTTCATGTTCCAAGAAATATTTATATTGAGATCTTTTATACTACTCTTTTCTAAATGTTGTATGTAAAGAATGTCAGGTTGTTTTCATATTTCTTGATCATGGAGAAATCAGTTGTTGTTTTTTTAATGAATAATCTTTTTTAACTATCAAAGTAATCTCTATACTTCATAAAATTTCCACCTGTCCAGGCTACGGAGAGACAATTGGCACAGCAGTCGATCAGGCAGCCCGAGATGCCCTGCGGAGATTCTTCCAGACAACAGCTGCCAGCCCTCCTCTCCCCTTTGGAAAAGAGAATGTCAAGCTCAAGGCTGAACCAAATTTATCAGTAGAAGATTGGTCACTGGAGAAAGCAAAGAACATTATTACTTGTTAATATTGTCTTATGGGGAAATTCAAGTAAAGGGGTTACCATAGTAATTGAGGTTGAATTTTCATATGTGGAAACAAACCATGATATAGTTGAAAGAAGGAAAAATACACAAATGAGAATTGATAGGAAATAGGGTATTTGATGTGTTGCTAAAGTAGAATCTACGGGAATCTTCATTATACTTAGTTGAATCTATTATGGATGGAAAATCATACTTCATATAATGGATTTGGGTTGTATATAATC